GTTAGAATTTAAGCGTACTAGTACGTCAAAAACCCTGGATCGTAAGCCGTACTAGTACAGCCGAAACCCTCAAAGGGTTAAACTGTAACATTAACACCCCTCCTTCAGAGTGCAGGCACTGTACATCCCACATCCAGGACTCAAGTCCGGCCTGCCAGTTTCCCTGAATCCCTTCATAAATGTTACTTTGCTCACACTCCAACAGCACGTCAAGTATTAAAAACCATTTGTCTCCATTCACTCCTGTAGGTTTGTGTAAACATGTTTTGTAAATATAATGACAGCAAAGTTTGTGCTGTTATTGTGTAGTATACAATGAGCGAATATTTATACTGGTCTCACAGGCTATAAAAGTTACTTCAAAAAATAAAATATTAAAAAATAAAAGAAAAAAAGAAAAAACAAAATAAACTATTACTGGGTGACTGGCAGTTGGCGATGTTGCCATAAGCAGTTCAGTTTCTGTCAACTTCACGCCTCCATATCTCGGTAAGTATTGATTGGAAAAAAAATTTTTTGGCTTATAATACATACAAAAAGAAAAAACTTATTTCATAAGAATTTTTTTTTTTCGAATATTTTTCAACCCTGAGAACAAGTTTGGGAGAGGGCCTGTCGACCCTGAAAGGGTTAAATCATTACATACCTGTATTGAAGACTTGTTGGCATATGGAAGACAGGGATGAGGGGAGAGGGAGGAAGAGAGGTTATTATTTGTTTGGAGAAGGAATCCCCCTCCATAATGACTTCAGGTATTAAGTCCCTCTCTGGGGTTACTTGTCTTCTTTTCTATGCAGCAGCCGATATTTGGGGTTCCACTCTATATTAAAAAATTTATTTAAAGAAGTGGAATGAGTAATATGGAGCAGAGGGGACACCATGGTGGCCCCTTAATAAAACCATCAACAACCCTTCTCATGTCTTGTTTGTTTATCACAAAATACAAGTGTAACAACTAAATTGATGAACAAATTAATATTAAGTAGGTACTGTATACTCATTATATACATATCCTTTTAATTTTTTAACCTTAATTTTGCATATGTAGAGAAGCAGAGGGTATATAAATAGTGGGAGTGGCATATCTTAAACAGATGCAGAATCCCTCAACTCAGAATATGCAAGTCATTTATTTATTACAAAACGAAAGTTCAACTGAATTGATGCACAGTACAGTGGACCCCCGCATACCGATTTTAATCCGTGCAAGAGGGCTCATTGGTATGCGAAATAATCGGTATGCGAATGAATTTTCCCCATAAGAAATAATGGAAATCAAATTAATCCGTGCAAGACACCCAAAAGTATGAAAAAAAAAATTTTACCACGTGAAATATACATTTTCCTACACACAAAGAGAAGGATACATGCACAATAGTAGAGTAGTACATGCACAGTATATATTGTGCATGTACTAGTCTACTAAATGAAGAATAAATGACACTTACCTTTATTGAAGATGCAGCAATGACTGATGAGACACTGTGTCCTGGGAGTGCCTTTATCTCCTGAGTACTGTAGGTCCTGTTTGGTATTTTCTTCCAGAACAGGCCTTATCACACTATGTATGCCACTACGATTCTTAAATCTCTCAAACCAACCTTTGCTGGCTTTATATTCACCAATATGAGCACTAGTTCCAGGCATTTTTCCCTGTTCACCTGGGTGTTAGTCGACTGGTGTGGGTTGCATCCTGGGAGACAAGATTAAGGACCCCAATGGAAATAAGTTAGACAGTCTTCGATGACACTGACTTTTTTGGGTTATCCTGGGTGGCAAATCCTCTGGGGTTAATTGTTTCTTGGTATATTCTCAATAAGCCACACCAACAACAGTGCTACAGCAGCAGCAGACGATGCTACAGCAGCAGCAGCAGCTGACAGTGCAGCAGCAGCAGCTGTACCACCAATAGTAGCGATGGTTGATTGGGGTTTATTATACAACTTGGCCAGATCGGAGACACGCACTCCACTTTCATACTTATCAATGATCTTTTTCTTCATCTCTATAGTAATTCTCACCCTTATTGCTGTAGGGTTGGCAGTAGAAGCTTTCTTGGGGCCCATGGTCACTTATTTTCCAGATAAAATCACCAAAAACACTGTAATAATACGAAATGTTACGATTGTATGCTTGGATGCTACCGCGGAGGCTGGCTGGTAAACAATGCCACCGGCGGAACATGTGAGGCTGGCTAAGGCGCACATTGGACACGTCTCGGACAAACAGTGGTGAGCGGGTTTTTAAGCGGTATGCGAGGCAAAATTTTTGCGATTAAAGCAAGCGGTATGCGGATTAATCGTTATGTGATGCCAACGGTATGCGGGGGTCCACTGTATATACAATATTCACAAGGAATAGGTCAACCATCACTAATCCAGCATCATTGGGAACTGTAGGGTGCCGGATTATTGATTTTGCCGGACCAAGGTGTGGTTAGGTTAGAATTCACTTGACCCAGCAGCTAACCACCTCAGTACAACTTGGTTGATAAAGTTAACCAACTTGACTTGCATCAAAAAGTTCATCACTGTCACTTCCAAAGCGAAATTTGCAACTAAGCGCATTTACATGTCTTGAGGTGAAGGACTGTCAGGATTCCCATGTTCTTCATCTTGGAAGGTGACTGAGATATCAAGAACTTTCGATGATGGCAGCACGTCTGGGTGAGCAGATGACACCAACAGTGTTTATGCAACAAGTAGCACCACCAGACAGTAGTGGCAGGTTGGTGTGCTGATCTGGGAAATTCGAAATTTTGCTAGCTGAAATCAGTGCTGGATTAGTGATGGAACCGGATTAGTGATTGCCGGATCAGTGATTGCAGACCTGTACTGTATTTATATAATACAGTGGACCCCCGGTTAACGAACTTTTTTCATTCCAGTAGTATGTTCAGGTGCCAGTACTGACCGAATTTTTTCCCATAAGGAATATTGTGAAGTAGATTAGTCCATTTCAGACCCCCAAACATACACGTACAAACGCACTTACATAAATACACTTACATAATTGGTCGCAATTTGAGGTGATCGTTAAGCGGGGGTCCACTGTATTTAGTTTCCTGTAACTCTCTATTAGTGATAAACAGTTTATATATAAACAGTGTATACTGTGTTGGGTTTGTGAACTTCAAACACAAGCATTTATCATGGCAATGCCTTCCCTTTCTCTTTTAAATACTGTACTTCTCATTATATTATCAATCACTAACAGTCAACTTTTATATAAGTTCCCTTAATACAACATATAGTTACAGTTCAGTTATTGGTTACTAGGCTTTTTTAACTGGCTTTTAGTTATTTTTCCCTATATTTACACAGTTATAAAGATCAAGGCATTTTTGTTGAAAACCTGCCACAGTTCTTCATCCATCGTAGAAGGAAAACATCCTAAATGGTGTCTTAATTGACATCTGCTTTACATTGTAAATTTATTACGGTGGTACTATTACTGACATTTGTACACAGTTGAAATAGACTCGAATGCAGAACAGAACTTTTATTGAGATGCCATGTTGCCTATGTAGCAGGTCTTCTCAAATGTATACAGAATTATGAACAAATAGATTTATACCTATAAGCTGGAAGTCAGGTGGAGACTGGTGGGTGGTGAGTGAAGTAAGATCTTGGCATGTCAGTAAACTGTTAAGGAGCACTGCAGGAACCTTTAATGTCTCTTAAAGGATCATATTTACTGCATAATTACCAATATGTTAACCCTAGTGCTCACATATTCCTTCGTACAGTACAAAGCCCCTGTGACAGACACTGCCCCTTAAAAACCGAAGAGGTGACAAGAAAGAGATTAAATAGTCTGTATGTAATATTTACATATGGGTACAGTACCTCCTTCCCTCCCTTCACTTATTATCATCATCATTAAAACCATGAGGAAAATACATTTTTTTTTATCTTTTATTTATATCAGTTATTAATAGGAATTTAGTAGTTTGTTTATAAAAGCATAATGTTAGTCGTGTCAGCAATGATTAACTATGAGCTGCTCAGGGCTATCCCAACACTTATACTGAACAATACAATAACACATAGCAATGGTGATAGCGAGAATACATTTTTTCATTTTGATATTTTTTTTTTATTTTCTTTCTGCAGTTTGTGCTCATAAGATGATAAGGGGGTATATTTATTTAGTAAATAATGTTGCCTTATGATTGATAATATGGGTATTTTAACTACCTTGTTGGATATATGCTGTCATTCTCCCTGTGTACACATAAGGTCCCTTCAAATTGGGGGATGTCATGATATTGATAGTGCTCTTCATCCAAGATGTTGGAGCAGCCCCCCCCCCCCTTTTTTTTTTCTTGAATCTAACCTGGCTGCTTCCTATTTCCAAAGCACCGTTTGATTCTTACAGGCTTAGAACTTCCCAAGAAATATAATGTAAACAGCATCAGGTTTTACAGATCTGAGTTTAAAATTTATGTAAGCAAAGTGTGGGTATACTGCATGTGAAATTTAAAATGGTTAACAAGCCACATTGTTTATCATCTTCATAGATTCTTCTCTTAAATCAAGTCGTCTTATTTAATGTAAAAAATTGTTCTGCTTGTGATATTCCTTTTAATTTTGCTTCTGCAGTTTTCATAACAATGCATTATACTGTACCAGGTGTCATTACATATATAAAAAAATTAAGGATAAATTTTATGATTTTGTATTGTATTGATATTTTGCAATTAGGGCTTCATAGTTTACCTTCGTGTGTGACTGAATGTACTACTGTTCCTGTTACTCTTACATGATGAAGATAAAAGTATGAACTCTACTACCAAGTATACCACCAGCATTTGTATTTTCCTTTACATAGTTTTGGGAAATAATTTGGTAGTGTCTTTGTAATATCTAATCCCTTAGAAATATTAAATACTGTAAGAGGTACTGTATTATATATTTTTCTGGTCTGTAACCAACTGAATAAAATTGAGCATTAGTATTAACATGCACAGCTAAGTGGGTTGTCTCTCTTCCTGGTAGGACACATCACAACCTCGCTTTCCTGTGACTTTGATGAAGGGGTCTAGACGCCAGCACGAATGCCCACACTGCCCCTACATAGCACGAGACAAGACTGATCTGCGTAAGCATTTATATACTCACACTGGCGAGAAGCCTTATGCTTGCCCATACTGCTCTTACCGGGCAAGGCAGAACAGCTGTATCAGAACGCACATGCGTAGACATCATCCGTTTGCCATAATATAAACTACAGTGTTTTTGAAGATTAAAATTTTGGAAAGCTATATATTACCTCTCATGGTAGGTTCTTTGATACCAGTGAGGGGGTTCTTGATCCAAGGAATTGGACCTGTCCTCCCATTCCTTGAATCGAATTGTAAGGCTTCCCATTCCGCAAGTGCTGTATGACCCCTGTGGGTTTAACTCTCCTATGAATGATGTAATAGTGATAATACTGTATATATGTAGAAAATTATGGCGTATATTGTGATATTTTGTGAAAAAGATTTATGTAGTTTTTTGACAATATTAGTGTTCATGTGCATAATTGAGAAATATATACTGAAACTACAGTGCCATATTGTATTTTTATTGCATATTGAGTTGAAATTGTCCATTTTCAAAATAAAATGATAAAATCATGAAAGGCATAAGTTTTTCTTAAAAATATAACCTGATGAGTATGGAAAATGCATATGGTTGCAGAAAAATAAGCTTGCAGATTAAACTCTTCAGTTGTCAGTTGTACTAGTATACAAATGCTGCCTGTGTCCAATATACTAGTATGAACAATTTTTGATTCCCACAAATCTGCCACCTGCCAATATTTTTGACCTCCACACAACTCTCTGGGTCATTTTCCATCTATTCATATATTTGAAAAACAAATTTGGCCAGTAGAATCCACATGAAGTATCATGGTTAACTACTAAGGTGATGACTGCATTTCCTACGTATTTGTGTGACTATCTAGCAGAAGTAAACAATGAACCAGGAGATGTTGTTATTTACACCAGCTTCCCTACCAACAAACAGGGTGTGCAAGTTGCATGAAGATGACTTATTCATTCCAAATATTTGTCAATTTCATGACACTAACAGTGGGATTCAGCTACAAAGTATACTAAGTATATTTTAACTCAGGATAACCCAGTAAATTCAAACAGTGTGAATAATTTCTATGTCTTGAGGACTATTACACTCAGAAACAAATGTAATATTATAAGTTTTCATTGTACATAGCGTTAAAAGACCAAAATAGTTAAAATAAATAAATAAATATAATATATATATATATATATATATATATATATATATATATATATATATATATATATATATATATATATATATATATATATATAATATATATATATACAGTGGACCCCCGTTTAACGATATTTTTTTCACTCCAGAAGTATGTTCAGGTGCCAGTACTGGACCGAATTTGTTCCCATAAGGAATATTGTGAAGTAGATTAGTCCATTTCAGACCCCCAAACATACACGTACAAACGCACTTACATAATTGGTCGCATTCGAGGTGATCGTTATGCGGGGGTCCACTGTATAATATATATATATATATATATATATATATATATATATATATATATATATTATTATTATTATGATTATTATTATTATACACACACAAAACCAACCAACCATCCGACTTACGACCTGCTCGACTTACAACCACTCGACTTACGACCGTGTTTTTTATGCAAAATTTCTGGGAAATAAACAACTATTTGTGTTGTACACAGTGTTTATCCTAAACCTTACAGTATAAAATACAGTGCTAACAGCATAAGAAGTAAAGTAAAACATGAAATACCAGAATAAGACAGTAAAATAACGTTATTGCAAAAATGTTATGTTGATATTCAGTAGTAAAGTTCGACTTACGACCATTTCGACTTACAACCGGTTTCTCCGAACCGAACTCGGTCGTAAGTCGGATGGTAGGTGTGTATATATGTATGTATGTGTGTATATATATATATATATAATATATATATATATATATATATATATATATATATATATATATATATATATACATACATATATATATATACATACAGTGGAGCCTCTACTTGAGAGCGTGTCCACGTGCGAGTTTTTCCAAATACGAGCAGTCAATGGGTCGATTTTTTTGCTTCCATAAGCGAGCAGAATTTCCACAAGCGAGCAGACCTCAAGGCAGGTTCCTTGACACTGGTGAGGGGCTCTTGCTTTTGATCTCGGGAATTGTATCTCATTTGTTTGTTGGACTATCTTATTGAAACTTTGGCAATGTATGATGGAAAGATGCTTCTTAATGTACAAAAATGAAAGAAATCTAAGCATAAATAATGGAGTTCACTTCTCAGCAATTAGCCACTCCTTAGTGGTAATTTCGAATGGTTTTTATGGTTGTATTCTCGTTTTTTTTGGTCTCATTTGATAGAATGGAAGATAAATTACAGAATAGATATGATTTTGATTGCTTTCATGATGAAAAGTACCTTGAAATAGAGCTCAACCTAGGAGAAATGGTCCATTGCTTGGCTGTTTCAGTGTAAACAAATGTCCATTCCAATATGCAGTTGTGAATGGGTTGACATATTTATACAATTATTGCAGTAAGGAATAACAGTAAATCTTATATTTTTTGTGTGAATAAAAATTACAAATAATTTATATAATAATAATAATAATAATAATAATAATATGAATAACTATGTATAATAAAAATAATATAATACAATAATAATAATAATAATATTGATATAATATGTATAATAATACATATGTAATAATGTACTACATATTTATTTTTTATTTATTTATTTATCAATTTGAACACAATACAGTGAAGTACAAAAAATATAGTTAAATGCAGCATGCCAAAGCCACTTGAATGCATAGCATTACGGGCAGGCTTAAAATTAACTTAAGATTAACTAAGCAATGATATATTCAGTGGTACAAAAATTATTGTATAATAATTATAATAATAGACGGCTCCAAAAGGCCGTCACTAGATGGCAGTGTTTACCACAACAAAGAGGGAGCGGTTGTGGCCGCCTCAACCTGTTACATAATGACATATTTTATTCATTCTAGAGTATATATCGTGTGTCTATGTTATGTATATTGTCTGTTATGTCATAATAGATGAACTGGGATATATAAATAAGCCGTATAGATGATATTAGCGAAATTATTCATGAAGAATTTTGCCCAGTGTACAGACAAACTCTGGTCCACCGCCGACACCGCCCACACCACTACAGGAATGACATATTTTATTCATTCTAGAGTATATATCATGTTTGTATGTTATTCATATTGTTTGTTATGTCATACCTGATGAACTGTGATAGATAAATAAGCAGTATAGATGATATTAGCGAAATTATTCACAAAGAATTTTGCCCGGTCTCCAGACAAACTTGTCCACCGCTGACACCGCCCATACCACTACATGAATGACATATTTTATTCATTCTAGAGTATATATCATGTTTCTATGTTATTCATATTGTTTATTATGTCATACTAGATGAACTGTGATAGATAAGCCATATAGATGATATTAGTGAAATTACTCATTAAGTATTTTGCCCGGTGCCCAGACAAACTCTCGTCCACTGCTGACACGCCCATACCACTACATGAATGACATATTTTATTCATTCTAGAGTATATATCATGTTTCTATGTTATTCATATTGTTTATTATGTCATACTAGATGAACTGTGATAGATAAGCCATATAGATGATATTAGTGAAATTACTCATTAAGTATTTTGCCCGGTGCCCAGACAAACTCTCGTCCACTGCTGACACGCCCATACCACTACATGAATGACATATTTTATTTATTTTAGAGTATATATCAGGTTTCTATGTTATTTATATTGTTTATGATGTCATATTAGATGAAGTGAGATAGATAAATAAGCTGTAGAGTTGATATTAGCGAAATTATTGAAGTACAGAATTCCACTGGAACGGATTAATTGCATTTCAATTAATTTAAATGAGGAAAATTGACTCTGCAAACGAGTAAATCCAGTTGCGAGCAAGGTCGTGGAACGGATTAAACTCGCAAGTAGAGGTTCCACTGTGCAGTGGTCCCTCATTTTTCGTAGTTCTTGGGAATCATAGATTTCGGAAATCATAGGGATATTTTCGTATAAACATGGGCTCGCTAATCATAGGTTGACTCACGAATAGTAGTTCGTCCGGGACGCGTACGCATGGTGTGAGCCGGGGCGGCCTCCCTACCCAGTCAGTCTGGCATTGTTTACCAGTGAGCGAAGGTCCCATCATGTGCTCCTACGAAATATTTCATAATATTCCACTCATTTTAGTGCTTGCAAGTACTAAATAAGCTACCATGACTCCAAAGAAAGCTCCTAGTGCCAAGCCTGTTGTAAAGAAGAGCTCACCACTGAGGAGCTGCAAGAGCTTCAGCAGGAACAGCAACAGATCGCAGCTCAGAATCTTGCTGCAGAGGAGCAGGAAGAGAGATGGAAGAAGGTGCCTTCAGAAATTAGAGATATTTTTGCTGTGTGGGGTAAGATGGAAAGCTTTATGGAGAAACATCACCCTGACAAGGTTGTTGCAAGCCATGTTGGCAACATGTACAGTGACAAAGTCTTGGGCCATTTTAGGGAAGTGTTAAAGAGACGCCAGAAACAGAGCTCTCTTCACAGTTATTTTGCGAGACAGGACTCTCAAGGTGGTCCTAGTGGCATTAAGAAACAGAGAAGAGAAGCAACCCCAGAAAAGCAATTGGTACCTGAGGTGTTGATGGAAGGGGATTCCCCTTCCAAACTGTAAACAATCCAATCTCTCTCCTCCTCCAGTCTCCCATACACTAAGAAGTATCTCCAATAAAGGTAAGTGTTATGCTGTTAATGTTTCATTCATCATTTTCCATTGTATTGTTTATGTACTACATCTATATTTCATGTAAAAAAAATTTTTGTTTTAACCCTTTGAGGGTTTTGGTCGTACTAGTACGTCTTACGCGTAGGGGTTTTTGATGTACTAGTACTCATAAATTCTAGCGG